ACTCTGTTTTTGTAGTAGCAGATATCCTTCTCTCATTTCCATGTTTAAGCACCCCCTTAAGGCCCCCTTGTAAGGCTGGTTTAGTGGTAATAAATTTTCTGTCATTTGCTTGTCTGAAAAGAATTTTATTTATCCTATGCTTATGAAGCTAAGTTTGACGGTATGTGAAATTCTTGGTTGGAATATTTTTTATTTAAATATGCTAAAAATAGGTCCCCAATCTCTTCTGGCTTGTAAGGATTTTGCTGAGAGGTCTGCTGCTAGGGTGATAGGGATCCCTTTCTAAGTTATCTGATCCTTCTCTCCAGCTACCATTAAGACTTTTTTTTCTTTCACATTGACCTTGGTGAATCTGATGACTATGTGGCTTTTGAATGGTCATCTTGTGTAGTATCATGTAAGGGTTATCTGTATTTCTTGAACTTGCATGCCAACCCCTCTAGCAAGATTAGAGAAATTTCCATGGACTATGTCCTCAAATATATTTTCCAGGTTGCTTACTCTCTCTTTCTTTCTCTCTCAAGAATGCCAATGAGTCATAGGTTTGGTCTCTACATAATCCCTTATTTCATGGATGTTTTGTTCATTTTTTAATCTTCTTTCTCTATTTTTGTCTGACTGAGTTGAAGAACCAGTGTTCAAGCTCTGAGATTCTTTTCTCAGCTTGGTCTATTTTGCTGTTAATGCTTCTGATTGTATCATGAAAATTGTATGGTGAATTGTTCAATTCCAGAAGTTCCATTTAGTTCTTCCCTAAAGTGGTTATTTTATCTTTTAACTCTTGGATGCTTTTGTTGGAGTCTTTGGATTCCTGGATTGGGTTTCAACTTTCTCCTGAATCTTGATGAGCTTCCTTGCTATCCAAATTCTGAATTCTATGTCTGTCATTTCAGTCATTTCAATCCGGTTAAGAACCATTGTTGAACTGGTGCACTTGTTTGGAGGTAAGGGAACACTCTGAGTTTTTGAATTGCCAGAGTTCTTGCACTGATTCTTTTACATCTGAGGGGGAGATTATTGATAGTTGGGTAGTTGGCGTAAATGAATGGAGTAGGAGTCCAAGGAGATTAGTTGAAGCAATGAAAAGAATTAGAGAGATCAATATAAGGGATCAGGTTTGGCCTTTGATATTATGAATGATTATTATTTGCTTTAGTGCAAGTTAGATTAGTCACTGTTGAACTGATTGGTGTTTCCTTGTATTTTGGGAATTGCTATCAGTTGGATGCGGCTTTTGGGTTTTATATTCTTTATTTCCTATGGATTTAACTGTGGTGTAAGTTGAGTGTAGTCAATTGACTTCCTTCTGGATACTTTTAGAGGGCCATACCTCTGTACAGAATCTTCCTTTGTAACTAGATTCTTGCACTGGATTTCCTCAGCAATGCATACTGACAGAATACATTTGGTGTTGTGTAATTTGGGCTGCAACCCAGTAGATGACACTTAAAAGTACTGGCTGGCAGATAGGCTGTTACTTAGTTGGGCAGCTCTTTTGTATTTCAAAGTATTTCCAGCAGTGTTCTATGGTGTAGGGAGGGGAGAGAGATAACCCCCTCACCAAATACACTCCCAGGCCTTAGGGTAGCCCCCTGTGATCACTGACGCTGTGCCTGCATTTCCACTGTTAAGTGTTCTAGGCCGTGGGTTTTGCTTGGACAGAGGTCATGGCTGACAGACAGTATACACCCTTCCTGGACTAGCCTTGCAGAAGGAAGCACAAGTCACTCCCATGCCAATCAATGAATCTGATGGTCTCATCCTTCTCAGTGTTTTAAGGGTGGGGGCTTTTCCCCTACTTAAGCATGGGCCAGGGGTTTCAGCTGGGCACTCCCAGGGTGTGTACTGCAACTGTGGGGCACAGGAACCTGGCCTGTGGCTCCAGCCTATGGTCTTTTGGGGTCAGACGCTGGCTGTGCTAGGGGATCCAAAATGCTCCCAGGCCACCAGGGTAGCACTCAGGCTGGGCAGCAGAGGCTGTACTATGCATATGCTCCTGTAGTAGCAGCGAGGCAGGGACCTTGCAGGGAGATGGCAGGCAAGGGAGCCTGCAGAACAGATGGACTTCAATCCCATGAGAAAAATGGTCCTGCTCTCTGTTAGCCCAGTGGTCAGCTGGAATTAGAGCTACTCAGAGGAAGATGGGGAACCTTGGGGAATGATACCTATGGCCATGTTCCACTGCAGCTGCCCCACATGCAAAACCCCCTGGGTTTCACACAGGGTGGAGCTCTGTCTTTCCCTAATCTCTAGACAGATCCCCCTGCCAATTCAAATGCCTATGAGGGTCGTTGGATCTCTTATAGCTAGAATCCCAGAGGTCCACAGCGAGAGTGGGCTGTCCTGCCATCACTTCACACACCCCTTCCCTAGAAGCAGTACAGGGCCAGGAACTAGTTCTGGCACTCAGCAACCCCATGCAGGGCTCCAGGCTTCCTCTTTCTTCAGCTTTGGCATCTGCGTCACCTCTTATCAACTCATGGTGTTTTCTATCTGAAGATCTGTTTAAAATATGTTGGTTTCCTTGACATTTTTGTGTCTCTCAGTGGTGTTGCTTCCTGGGTGCTTCTAGTAAGCCATCTTGTCTCCCTCTTGAGAAGTTTCTTTTAAAATGGTAACACAGACATAATCAGTTTCCTGCTCTGTGAATGAGAAAATCCAGTGAACATTTTATCATAAACAGTAAGAGTCAATGCCCAAAACACATCTGTCTCTTAAGAGAAAAGTCATAGACAAATCACTGGACAAATACGAAATTTTAAAGGTAATAATTTTACAATATAATTTTTGTTCCTTTATCCTTTAGTCCAAAATCCAAACTGGTTTTTGTTTTCAGTTCATTATTTCCAATCAATTTAAAGGCAAATATCTCAGCATCAACTTTGGAATTAAACAGAGCCTTTCTTCAAATGATGTTCTGGGTGTATGGTTTTTAAATTCTAATCTATGCCCCCACTTCTCTTGTACTTGCATGAATCCTTTCCCCAAGAAAATCAACACATAATAAAAGTGTATGACTACAGTCCTGAAGAATCTAGTCTTTGAAACAGTTTACACTTGTTTCATCTGTTAGAGGAGAGTGATTATTAATATTTTGTGTCAACTTGACTGGTCTAAAGGATGCCCAGATAGCTGATAAAACATTATTTCTCAGTATGTTTGCAAGAATGTTTCCAAAACAATTAGCATTTGAATTAGTAGACTGAATGTAGAAGATACTCCGTCACCAAAGTGAATGGGCATCATCCAATCCATTGAGGGCCTGAAAAAGCCAGAAAGATGTAAGAAGGGCAGTTTTTCTTCCTGAACTAGGACAGATATCTTCTTCAGCCCTTGGATATCAGAGCTTCTGGTTCTCAGGCCTTTTGGGATAAGAATGCTATGGTTTGTGTTCTCCCAAAATTCATATATTGAAATCCTAACCCCCAAGATAATGGTATTAGAAGGAGAGGGCCTTTGAGAAGTGATTAGATCATAAAGATGGAACCCTCATAAGTACAATTAGTGCCCTTATAAAGCATGCCTGAGAGATCTATCTCAAACTTCCACTGCGTGAGGATACACTAAAATATCCTGTCTGTAAACTATAGAGCTGCCCTCATGAGATACCAAATCTGCTAGCATCTTGATCTTGGACTTCCTAGCCTCCATAATGAGTATTACCACCTGAGCTCCTCCTCTTGTTAGATCAGCAGTGGCATTAGATTCTCATAGGAGTAAGAGCCCTATTGAGAACTGTGCATGCAAGGGATCTAGGTTGCACACTCCTTATGATCATTTAATGCCTGATGATCTGAAGTGGAAGAGTTTCATCCCAAAACCATCCCCCAGTGATCCCCACCCTCCTTGCATGGGAAAATTGTCTTCCAGTAAACCAGTCCCTGGTGCCAAAAAGGTTAGGGACTGCTGGTTTAAAAGTTACCCAATTTATAGAATTCTGTTAGAGCAGCCTGAACAGACTAAGGCAAGGTGTAAAGAGGTGGAGGCTGGGAGCCCTGCCACCTGCCCAGTGCCATTTGTTGAGGTCAAAGCTCCAGGATGAGCCCTTCCCTCCAAAGCTCTTTGTCTTCCCTGGATTATGGGCCATAGTTAATAGTATCTCTTATCCTTATATCACACATGGCTAGAAGCAAGGACTTTACAGCAATTACTGTTTTGCATAAAGACATAGTCCAGAAAAATTAGAGTGTCCTGAACAAAAATTAGTAGATTCCCACCAAAAGAGAAACAGGCCAGTGGCTCACTGCTAGGCCCAGCTTCACAGGCCTACTCTTGGTGTTCTTTCGATAGTTCATCCCACTCACCAGAGCTTCTAAAGGGTAAGAAAAGGACATATAGTTACTGTCTGTTGACCTCAAATTATCACAGTTAGACTGAACACATTTTTAAAAAATAGCATCCAGTTTAATGTAATCCAGTGTGAAGTGGGAGAAAGAACATGGACTTCAGAGTCACATGGACCTAGTTCCAAATCCTAGCTCTGCTACTTTCTATTGCCTTTAATTTTAGGTACACCATTGAGCTTCATAAGTCTGTTTTCAACGTATAAAATTGGATCGAAAGGAAAAAAATATATAGATAGATTTTCTAAGATATGTTATGGGCACACACTCAATGTTAGCAGCCTAAACCCATAACCAAGCTCTCTTATAATCCTAGCACAACTCTGTGTCTATCTGTATACATGAGTGTTTTCATACACACCCAAACATATCAACCACATGTGATATCAACCACTTGATCTTAAGCCCTACAGATCCCGAATCATTAATGTATCTTCATCATAAGCACAAGCCCACAGATGTGGAGCAGTAAAGTTCATATTCTCTTCATATACTACAAACATACTTCATTAATATAGCAGGCCCATAAAGATAATGGCAATTGGGCAATATATGCTTTACTTGTAGGCCACTGAAAGATCTCTTTAAAATGAATAGTATTTTCTACCAAACACCAAAGACAGAAACAAAACTCATCAGGCTGAGTTGAGCCCATACCTTGAATTGCTCCTCTGTGTTCTTCCTTATCAGTGGAGATCCTGGTAAGTTGAGAGATTATGGTCAGGAGGTATTTCATGTGGGAAACCCCTAGGCTACTGGGTCACAGCAGTAACTCAGCGATCTCAGCTACTGGAGAGTCTAGTGGCAATGGCAAGACTGATGCTACCCACCTGGGGCCACTGAGTTGGTGGCCTAATATTATTCATATATGTGAATGGTGCCCTGGCCCAGGTCTTTGAATATGAACCATTGTGGGGTGTGTTTGTGTATTTGCAGGTTGACTGTTCTTGTGGAGTTAGGTTGCTTGACTGCCAGTAGCATCATTGATATGTCTCTGAAACATTCAAATCATATTATCAAATAATCATATTGCTCTTACAGGTTAAAATGGAGGCAATACAGTTCCAGACACAGATCAATATAATTTTACAAAATTTTTGCTGGGGTGCAAAGGGTGACAGAGATTGCCACATGAAATCTGAACAGGTTGTGTTTACTATTAGTGCATGCCATATTGCTCTTGTATATCACTCGGAAGCAAGTGTGGCCAGCAGGTAATCCTTCACATTCTCATGAAGCAAGCCAGCCAGTGGAGATGTTCAGGCACCTCACACCCTAGAAGCTTGTGTTAGAGTCAGCTTTGCCCTTGTACCAGATGTGTCTTTTTGGTCTGAGATGGCACCACTGAAGGCACTGATTCCTGTCCTGGTGTCTTCCTTTCAAGCCTGTAATTGGTCAGGTTATACCCTGATGAGGTGCTGTATCTGACAGCCCTTTTCTACCTTCAATCTGACCCTATACCAGAATTCTGCCTCACATTTCTCTGTAACAGACAATGACTGTGGTTGTTTGGCTCTGGCCTGATGGTAAGATTCCTCCTAGGAATATGATGCAAACAAACATTTCTTAATATGTGATCCATGGAGTATTTTATGTGTGTGTGTGTGTGTGTGTGTGTGTGTGTGTGTGTGTGTGTAAATCGCCAAGTTGGAGATGCTGGCCAGAACTAAAATGTGAAATCAGTCTGCCTTGCCAAAGTTGTCAAGTTTCCCCACAATACTCAATAGCCCTTCCTTAAAAAGCAAGTACCTCAGCAGCTTGGAGAGGGAGAGAGAGAGGTGGGGAAAAAAACGAAAGGCAGGGAGAGAAAAGGAAGGAGATGAGAAGTTCCATGAGGTTTCTTCAAAAGCAAATGTTTAAAGTCTGTGTTGCTTAACTAAAAAGTCCTAATGGAAGCAAAAAAAAGTATTTTTACTTAAGCTTCTATTTAATTTTACCTCTATTTGCTTTCTATTCATTCTAACAGTATGTTGTTACTTTCAAGAAAGTTACTTTGAAGACTTCTCATTTCTGTTTGTAAAAATCCATTTCTGGGTACAAGTTAAACACAGAAATCCTGACCTAAGCTTGGGCACCAAGTGTGGATAGGGATCCCAGCATGGGCTCCTTTACGAGGTCTAGGAGGGCCATTTTTACAACCATCTATGTCATATTAATGCCTCTGTCTTACAAAAGTCCCATGAGAAGAGAAACAGCTGAGAAAGGAATAAAATTTGGTGGATGTTGACTTAATGGGCAGCTAGGGAATTTGGTGCTCCATCCATCTTCGCCAGATTTAGGACAATGCTGTAACAAAAAAAATGGCTAGGAGCAGACAGCAGAGCTCATTGTGCCTTCTCAGACAGACATCACTAAATCTGCAAGCAACAAATGTGAGAGCAGTCTCTTATACCCACATGGAAATCTACAGTGCACAAAAAGCATCATATATAAACACATACATATAAAAATATATATACAATGAACACACATGTATGTTATGTAAACATATATATTACATAAACATTACATACAAACACATAAATGTTTATTATATAGATTTACACTTTATGTTTATATAGACCTGTGTGTGTGTCCTCTTCATTTAATCTTCACAAAAACAATAAAACTCTGGAAAGTAGTGATTCTTATTCCTCATAAGAAAGGAAGGTATCAAAGAAGTAAAGTGATTTCTCCAAAGCCAGGGAGATAGTAAGCAGAAGGGCTGGGACAAGAACTTGTCTTCTCTGATGTCAAGCCTGATGGACTTTGCATTGTAAAAGGAAACCTGGGGCATTTAAAGAGGTTCAGCGATTTATCCAGAGATACATGGCTAGTTGAGAGCCAAACTCATACAAAAAAGATTACTCTGAGGTGATAAAACTATTTTAGGGGGAAAGAATGTAACGATTGGTATGGTTTGGTTGATATTCCCCCACTCCATGCCACAGACATCCTTTTGAAAACAGAAAGGAACACAAGCCTTAGAAGTCATTGGCAGAGGGAAAAGAAGAGAAAGTACCATTGCTCACTCATCTCCCCCGAATACAGCCCTAGGAAAGTTTCTCTTAGTATTTATCTTTTTTTTTTTTTTTTTTGAGACAGAGTCTCACTCTGTTGTCCAGGCTGGAGTGCAGTGGCTCAATCTTGGCTCACTGCAACCTCCGCCTCTCAGGTTCAAGCAATTCTCGTGCCTCAGCCTCCCAAGTAGCTAGCACTACAGGTGTATGCCACCACATATGGCTAATTTTTGTATTTTTAGTAGAGATGGGGTTTCACCATGTGGTCAGGTTGTTTTCGAACTGCTGACCTCAGGTGATCCACCCAGCTCAGCCTCCCAAAGTACTGGAATTACAGCTATGAGCCACTGCACCCAACCCCTCCTGGTACTTTTAACATTTCAAAGATGAGGGGATGAGGGTGAATAAATACAGGACCAAAGGTATGAGATGAAATTGAGCTTCCCCCATGAGAATCTCAAAGCTTTTCCTTCCTCACTAGTATACAAAAAGGGTAGGAGGCATCAGCTACTGCAGAGGCAGGGAGTACGATAGTTGCCTCAGCCTAAACCCAGGCTGGCAGTCATAGCAGTTGTAACATGCACACATACACAATTGAACTAGTCGCTGATGGCTAGAAAGATGAATTGTGTGTGTGTGTGTGTGTGTGTGTGTGTGTGTGTGTGTGTGGTGAGCATAGAAGGCTTTCATTTAATCTATGGACCTTAATAGATAGCCACATTCATAACTAATGTGCTATTTCTAGGATTGGACAAATTTAATTTTGTAGTTGCCAAGTTTCTTCCATTTTTAGGAAAAGTTCTTGCAGCCCTATTTGGAGTTTCCAAATTTAAAGCTGAATCCAAGTTTTTACCCTATCTTTGCTATAAAGGGAGCATTAATCGTTCTGACAGCCTAGGAGAAAATGTATAAGCAGAAGACATCTATTTCCCTACTTTAATGGGAACAAAGGTACCCACTGAAACTACTTGAGAGGCCATCTGAATATCACTGAATCTTGGTCGTCAGGTGAGATGAGCATACAGAAGTGTTTCAGAGTCCTATATCTTGAAGTTGGAAAACTTTCATTAGACAAAATTGCTAGTGGTAAAAAGTGCCATGAAGAACTTCCGTTTCTTGGATTTTCAGTTTCTTCGCTTGTATAAGCGAAATGATCATATCTTCCTAATAGGATTGTTGAGAGGACTAATTAAAATTATTTACGGTAAAAGCATTTTGCAGAGGCCCTTAAACATTATTTGTCCAATAAGCTTAACTATTGTCATTGTTATTAATATCATTATTATGTGGCTCTTGTGAAGAAAAGATTGTAAAAGTTTAAATTCATATGAAAAAAATGCCCTGTGAGTTTCCAATACGTAAAAAATAAAAGAAATTGCTTATATAGAGGATATGTGAGGGAATGATTATAAACTGATTGTAGTAAACTCAAAATACATGTTTTCTGTAATTCAACTCCCCTCACAGCAAAGAAGTTCCTGTTTGCTCTAGACCAGTGAAAAGACTGGGGTTTGTTGTAGATGTTATGCTTGAAGGAAAAGGACCAAGCCCTCTGGAGAACACTTTTTGGGGTTCTCTCTGAGCAGAACAACTAAAAGGTCCTGCTCAGTGGCTTTGGGAAATGTGACTACTGAAGACATGGTTTGAGAGTCACTGTGAGGACTTACCAGGCTCAGAAGTGATATCCCAGCGGGCTCTGTTCTGAGTTATAGTCCTGTGAAAACACAGCTGGAATAAGGGAAGTGTGGGCCTAAGGCGACTTGCCCAAAGTCACAACTAATAGGTCATGCAATCAGGAAGGAGTGTCAGGCACTCCAATTTGAGAACCTACTGAACAAAATTGCCACTTGGGCTTTTGAGACACGCTTTATAGTTTTATCCTTTTTTTTAAATGAAAAAAAAAAAACAAACAAACAAACTAGAAAGCAGAGTTCTAATGTCATCTTAGAAAAGATTAGGGCAAACTAGTAATTGTCCTACTGCAAAGGTGGTGTGCCCTCATGATTCAGGAATTACTTTGTAGAATGATTTTGCAAATAAGTGCGTGTTGGGTGCCTCTCTCAGCAGGCTATGTGAGAATCCCATCAGAAAGGGGCAGAGGACATGGCGCCATTCTGAAGCTTGGTCTGTCTAGTTCAAAGAGTTTCCCAAGAAAAGATGGCTCTATTAAGAGTTTCAAACTATAAACACAGGTTTGACTTAATCCCCAAATGTGAAGTTAGGTCACTCTGCCTAGCACTTTCAAAAATAGTGGCAGGGCTGGCTGATAAAGAAATATTCTGTTGTTATTCATATTAATTTTATAAAATCATTTTGCCAAAGTGAAGGGAATTTTGTTCCTCAAAAAAAAAAAATTATAGAAAACACACCATATTGGTAGCTTACTTGTGGTGGGAATTAATTCTAGAATCATTATGCCTTCCCTGCAAGTTCCATTCTTCCTCCCTACAGAGGCAAAATCATTGATTTTTTTTTTTTTAGCACAAAGTAGCTATGGAAAAATTTTCAATGATTTCCTGTCTTATATTCTGATGCATCAGAGCAAAAGAATGTACAAAATTGTATTGATTAAGATCAAGCATGAAGTATGCAGCAAAACTTTATCACCATTTTCAAAACTGACAAAATCAAAGCAGCTTGGTAAGTGAACTTAATTGAGTTCAGAAAACCTCAAGACATTTCCCCTCCTTAAAGTAACTGGAATTTTTATTCTTCGCCTTTCATGCCAGGGAGGGTACATGTCTGACAAGGATAAAATCGGTCATCTTGTACATTCTCCCTTTGGAGAGCAGAAAAAAAACAGAAGTGTCAGAGCACAGCATGGTGGGAGCTGGGTGATTGTAACAACCCTTTGCATCCCCGTGCCGCACCTGTGAACCAGGCTACAGTCTAGGGTGTCTCAAAATTATGGAGCATCAGGCAACGTGGATTGCACACACCTCTTTCCAGAGCCTGTGTAGGTATGCCATACCAACATTTGGTGCATTTCTATGGCAAGGACAGCATCACCTCCAGGGAGTTACAATCCAGGGTGTGGCCTTTCCACACCACATATGTGAGTGCAAACTGCCCACTATTGGGAAACTCTTGAGGGTCTCCCAATTCTGGCCTCTTATCTCTGACACCTCCTAAGCTAAAGGATACCCTTGAGTGCATTTCTCTCCTTTCTGCCATATGCCAACTAGTTGGAGCTGCTGTTCTTCCTTTTTTTTTTTTTTTTTTTTTTTTTTTTTTTTTTTTTTTTCCTGGCAACTCTGCACTCTGCACCCTTAAAAAGAATTTCATCTTCACCCACTGAAATTTTGTCTCCTCAAAAACAGACCAATTTCTCTTTATAAATATTAGTGCTGCTTCCTGAAATATGATTACACTGGAAGAAGGAATCTCACATCACAACCCAAAGACCCTTGGGTTCTTCTGGACTCTCAAGAACATTTTTATGAACTAATGGGTTTCAGTTTGTATAACAGTATTTCATTCAGCACTTAAATTCACCTATTGCCTTCACAGCCTGCATCGCTTTACAGTCTAATGTCACACTTTCATACTCTCATAGCCCTTTTTCTCCAATCACTCAATTATTTATTTAACCCTGATACAATCCTCAGGAGTCAAGCTAGCATTGTCCTCATTTTCAAGGCAGAAAAATGGAGCAGTGAGTGTGTACATGGATAAGAGTATTATGTGTATGACAGGAGAGGAGAATATACTGTTCCTTTTCACAGAATCAATCCACAATATGGCACTAGAATACATACCCTTTCTGAGTTAGTCATTTACTGTGTCTCTCTGATGATAAATATATAGATTCACTGACCAATTAGCGGAGAAGTTATGAAAAAAAAGAGGTTTAAAAAAATTATCACATCTGGCCACAAACCTTAGAAACCAGAAATACACACAGTTCTACAAAGAATTTCTCTGTAGATAACTTTTTTCTTCTAAACTTTTTCTATTCTCATTTTTTTAAAGAACATTGAGGAGTAAAGAGCAAATTGACAATAAATCATTGTAGGATTATATTGTTCCATCATTAATTCTCCTGTAGGTTAAGCTTAGTGGTATTTTTTTTTCCTTGTATATGTTCGTTTTTGCTTTGAAATGATGAAACTTATTTTGCTTTGAAATTGCAGAAAGCAGAATGGAGTAGACAGTATCTTACATTTCAAAAAGTTACTTGGATTAGTAATCCAGTTAGACACCTTCCTCACCCTTCCTCTCATCCTCAAATCCAGACAAATTCTATCATAGAAGATAATTGTATTCCCCTCCTACAATCACTCTGACTTATAAACTTGATTTGTTTTTAATGTCTTTTAAATATCTTAAATAATAGTTATCATACATGACATATAATTCAGCATAAGTTTTAATGTTACCTTTTCTTTGACTTTCGCTCTCATGATGGGCAGACATCAGTGGCTAATTGTGTAGGATCAGTTGGGTTACGTACAATATATCACAGAAGCAGCAAGGCTGTTCCCAAGGAACTGAAATGACACCGGATGACAAAAATCTTCCAAACAATTCAAAGAAGGAATTTCTTTTTCAAATGTTACATCAAAATTGATTAATTGGATTAGCAGGAAAAAAGTACTCTTAAAGGAACTCTTATTTCAATTTCATAAAGAGGGTCGCCTCTATTTTCATTATTCCATATCTCTGTCACCTCTATTTTCATTAGGAAGAGCAGAATCACAGGGAGAGACATGTTATAGAAGGGACTGTTTGAGAAGGAAGTAGATGCTAGAAGATGGCTGGACCTAAGGGCAAAGCTGCAGTTCATAAAAGACAGTGCTTACTTTTAATGAGGGAACAGAGATGGGATGAGAGAGGAGCAAATGGAAAGTTATAAAGTGCTGGCAATGCTCTAATCCTTGAGATCAGTGGTAGGTTCATGGACAAAAATATATATCATTGATTTGTTACATATATTTTTGTATTATCAAACATGAAATTTTGAATTACATCAGCAGCATCACAACTCAGAGAAATTAGAGCTTAGTCTTCTATGAAAGTTTTCTACCACTTCGTATTTATTTAGGTATGTATTTATTTACTGATACGAGTCTTGCTCTGTCACCCAGGCTGGAGTACAGTGGTGAGATCTCGGCTCATTGCAACCTCCACCTCCTGGGTTCCAGCGATTCTCTTGCCTCAGCCAACCAGGTAGCTGGGATTACAGGCGTTAGCCACCATGCCTGGCCCACTTTTTTTTTTCAGCTAGGATTATGCAGTGGGAAATTCTAGGGAGCAAATAATCTAGGACAAGGTTAAAACTCCCTAGTCTCACTCTGATTTACTAACAAAAAGCATCTTTCTGGCTGGGTGCTGTTGCTCACACTTATAATCTCAGCACTTTTGGGAGACCAAGGCAGGCGGATCACCTGAGGCCAGGAGTTCAAGACCAGCCTGGCCAACATGGTGAAATACCATCTCTACAAAAACACAAAAATTAGCCAGGCATGTGGGTGGGTGCCTGTAATCCCATCTACTTGGGAGGCTGTGGTGGAAGAATTGCTGGAACCCAGGAAGCGGAGGTTGCACTGAGCCTATATCATGCCATTGCATTCCAGTCTGGGCTAGAGAGTAAGACTCTGTCTCAAAACAAAACAAAATTAAAAAGCATGTTTCCAAACCAGTAGGGTAGACATTTCATCGGCTTCACCAAGGCCCTCTTGTGCAGACTCTTACCCCTTCCATTCTGTTATTACTTCTACTAGCCTGCTACAACATTGACAATTTTATACATTAGAAACTGTTTTTTGGAATTAGGAAATTTTTTCCCCTCTGTTGCATATGAGAGCTTCTCACCTGTTGCATGAAAGTGTGTTGAAAACCATAGTTCTTAACACTTCCACCTGAATTCATCTAGCACAGGCTTTCTAGGCAACTATCTGAAGACAAGAGTTCTTGGGAATGAAACTTGAGACTGGTAAGCTGTTTGATCCCCCTGCAGGCAAGAGGGGAATGGAAAGTTTATAAATAAACCCCAAACTGAGGCACTATCCTGAAAAACAATCTTAAATTATGGAATGTAACAGAATTATTTAACTGTCAAGCCACTAAGAATTTTAGGATTTTAGGGGAGTTAGATATTCCCAAACGATGAAAACCCTAAAATTGATCCACAGGACAGCTGGCGATTCCTGGGCTCAAAAACAAATGAATCCAGGCATTTTGAGAGGAGCATGAAGATACTAGAAGCAGTCTTTTCTAGAGCAAAGTCTTTGGAGCTGACTCACCATGCTAGAGACCATCATTGCATTGCCCAATACTTCTTCTTGGGCTAGGTGAGTCTTGGAAATAAAAGCTAGATTTAGGTACCCAAAAGTCAGGGTTGCGAATGTGACTGACCAAGGGTTAATTGTCAACTTCGAAGACAGAGCAAGAGAGATCTGTGTCACTATCCTAAACAGAGATCACTTTAGTGAGACCATCTGTATCAGTCAGGATCCCAGAAAGAAACAAATCCAATTCAGATGGCACAAGAAACCGTAAAAAAAAAAAAAAAAAAAAAAAAAGTTCTTAGAAATACAGGCACCATTAAAAAACAGAGTGTTGAGATAACCAGAGACTGCCAAAGCAAGAACAAGAAGCATAAATAGTGCTATGGAGGCTTATTGGAACTGGAATCTCCCTGATAGGAGCAGTAATAATGAAGGGATATAGCCACTGCTAGAAATTCAGCCCAAAGCAAGCACCCAACTTCAACCTCCCTCTCCTCTTGCCTGTCCACTTCCAACAGGGGCTTCCCTTTGTCTGAATTCAACCAACCAAAACCAAGGGAGGCTTGATGATGCAGACTTGGAAGATTGGCCTCCTGGGGCCCAGAAGAGGGTGAATTAGGATACAGAATAGAACTTGGGTATGGGGGACAAGAGGTCAAATGGAGTACAACGAGCACATCATCTAAAATATCAAATAATCAGGGATGAAAAATATTAAGTGGTCAGGGATGAATGAATAACAACAGATGACTCCAAAGCATTGGGTCAACAAATGATTAAATACAGGAGGGCTGGGTCTAGAGAGAGACCACAAGAAACCATGCATGTCAGTGAGAAGGAAGAGGCTGGGGATGGTGGGCATTTGACTACTGACCAAACTACATAATATCAACCATAATATCAACATGCATATAGAGTCTTCACTCCAGCCTCACTGACTCTCCTTAAATTTCCTTCTCAAAAATTCTTCAAGGGGGCCTATATACATGCTTTTCCCTCTTTGTGAATAGCCCAACCCTCTCATTCTTCTTTCATACTCAGTTAAATCCCTCAAGGAAACACTGACCTCCCCATCAAGGTCACCTTCATGTTGTCACATGCTCTTATAGAACCATATACTCTGCCTTCACAGCACTTTTCACATTCACAATTTTTATATTTAGTTGTGGGTTGTGTGATTTCTCAATTAATGTTTGTTTTATTCCTGTACGATGAACCAGATGATAATAGAAATTCTGTTTTTCTTATCATTGCATCCCCAGTGGGTAATATATAGAAGGAATTCAATAGGTATTTTATAAGCAAATAATTTTTATTAGAAAATAAATGTCCTTAACTCATAGCAGTTGGATGGCTTAGAAAAGGGCTGGCATTATAAATTAAGAAATAATATCTAGCCTTTCTATATTGTGCAGCAAGAAAATGTGACATTCCAGGTGTACAGTGTTAAAGAGAGTTTGCACTGGACACTTGCTAAAAATAGCAAGACATATTTTATTAGAGCTATGTCAGTAAGGCAGAGAGACTACAGTATAGAACTGAGCTCAACTCCAAGTTAAATGGGAAAGGAAGACTTTATTTAAGACTGTTGCAATAGGGGAGAGAGAATGAAATTAGTACCATTTCAAAAAAGGGCTCAGTTTTTAAGCACTGGGGTGAACTAGTGGAAAATTACCAGAGAAGCTAGGAAGGAGTTTGTTCAATGTCATTAAGTCATCACTGTTTGCTAACTAGAGCTTAATGAAGTTAGGCTTCTACCATCCCAGACATTGAGAGATACAAGGGCTATCTTTCTTGATGATGACATTTCACACGGATGGCTCCAAGTCCTTGAGAAAGGCATTTCTGGGATGAAGATTTACATCTCAAAGGGGCAGAGAACGGATTTTAAAATTCAAGTTTTCTAAAGTAAATGATCTAAGAAAAGGGAGGTCAGGAGCCTATGGTTAAGGAAGAAATCTGTCTAAAGTTTAGTCAAGCTGAAAGCAACATTAATACTACTATGTTTAACCATGTTTTATCACTTTTACAGATTTTAAGCAGTATAACCTTAAAGCAGAAAAATTCTCAGAACCAGTGCATTTTCTAATTCAGCATGAGAAGCACCTGGTACGAGTGAGTTGGAGCAAAAGATTATATGATGATAGCAAAAAGCCTCTTAAAGAAAGAAAATAATCTGCCTCTGTGGTTTCCAATTACATCCTCTCAGCTATTGCACTGAAAATAGAATCATCCTTGGTAATTATGGAAGAGGTATCTTGGAAGAAAGAGGTATTTACGCTAAATGCCAAGTCAGCAAGCAATGGCACAGGAAATTAATTCCACCCCCTTGTGCTGACTTCCACCGCGGAGTCTGACATGTTGACTACACACCTCCCCAGCCTGGGAATCCCAGTGACTGTTGGGGGTCAGCAGCAAGCTGACAATTCACTGCAGACCAAAAAAAAAACCAAAGAAAACATCAAATCAGGTTATAAAACAAGGAAAGCTCTCAAGGAACTAAGTACAGCTAACAATGCAGGTCATTAGTTTCTCAGACTCTTGTACAATAACTGTTGCAGTTAGTTTTCTCTAAAATATAACCAATGTAATAAAAAGCACATTTGGAATTGGCATGGAGAAGCAAAATTGCTGCAGATATGTACATTGAGGCCATAGACTACATTGCCACTCCAGCTCAGCTTTATGTTGACTCAGATATGTGGACTTTAAGTGGAGATATATGCCTCAGAAGCACCATCGTCCCACCTCAGACAGGCGACCTTCATGCCCTCAGCTCCATCCCTTCTGCAGTTTCAGCTGTTTGCAGAATTCCTGCTTTCCACTTGGAGAAAGCAAGTCTGTTCATTAGTCTTGGTACTCTGAGCTTCTGTTTATTTAAGCTAATTGGCTTCCTGCCTCTGATAAGAAAAGGACGCAGGATCCAGGCTTATTTCTCTATTTTTCCCTCTCCTTTTTAAGGAAAATGGACATCTGATTTCTGTTCTTTTCTCCCTTTATTTTTCCCAGAGCTGTAGAGACTGACATGCTGATGATTCAGCAATTGTGCTGTTCGGAAAATTTTAATGAAGGGGGAGGGAGACAATATTATTTATTAAGGGGACTTTATCTTCAGTAAAATTGAGAGTTTGTGACGCAGAATTTTTTTAATTGCTTAAATGATCACCGGCCCCAAAGTGGAGGTGGCGTCTCCTGAACTTCTGTGTCTCCCTCACCTCCCTTTGTGGCTTTGCTTTCCACTGTTTCTTCCTACAATAGGCAGTGTGTTTTCCCAGTCTCTGTCTGCCCTCCATTCCTCCAGCTCTGGATGAAGCCCATTAACTCCTTTGGCTCTTAGGTCATTCAGCAAGTTAATGATTGAGCTGCAGGGAACCCTGGTTGCCTCATACTTCACCTCCACCGACACAGTGGGCATGCGTGGGGCATGCCTTAGCACACAATTCATCCTGCAATTTCAAAATAGACAGTTCATCTTTATGCTTTAGAATTTCCAAAGATTTTAAAGAGATTGCATCAGCATCTACTAAAATCTCTTTTGTTTCACTGACAGTTTTAAAACATCATCTTCTCTGGCTTCAAAATTACAGATGTCATTTTTAATGATCAATGTTATTTGTCATTCCAGAGGATAGTCTCTGCTGAGAATTACAAAGATGCCTTTATGAGGCAGGGCCAGGAGCCCAGAGTAAATCAGTGGATGGTTTTATGGCGACCCAAGTGACATAGCTGAAGTAATCGCGTGGAAAGTGACAACAGACTCTAAATAACACTCCCTTCCACATTGCCTCTGACCTATAGCTCATTTGTTCGAGTTGCCTCTAACTGAATATGCCTTCAGTCTAGAGCATGTGAGAACACTCAGTGACTCATTATCTGATGGGCAATAGCCTTCAGCCTCTGCTACATCACTAGTCAGCTGTGTGACTTACTCCATGTCAATTAACCTCTCTGAGCCTCCATTTCCACAACTATAAAGAGATCTTTGACACAAACTCTGAGTCACAGTTCACCCTTCCCACCCACTGTGTTATGTCATCTATGCCCTTGTGAATATGAGTCCCAATGCAGGTATTATATGAGGGCTTATATTACTACCATAGCAAATTGCCACAAACTTGGTGGTTTGAAACAACACCACTTATTATCTCATAATTTCTACAGGTCAGAAGTGTAAGTACAGTGTGGTTTGGTTCTCAGCTTAGCATCTCACAGGCCTAAAATCAAGGTGTCAGACAAGCGAGGCTCTTATCTAGAGTCTTTGGGGGAATAACCCACTTCCAGGCTCATTTAGATTATTGGCCAAATTCTGTTCCTTGGAGTTGTAAAGTTGAGGTCTCCAGTTCCTTTCTTGCTGTCACTTACACCCTGAGGAATGAAAACATTCTTAGCTTGCATTTCTTAGCACATGGTCCCCTCCACCTACAAAGCTAGAAATGGTACCTCAAATCTCCTTTGTGCTTCAAATCTCTGACTTCCTCTTCTACTGCTAGCCAAATAAAATATTCTGCTTTATAAGGGTTTATGTGATTAGACTATGCCCAAACAATAATCCAGGATAATCTCCCTATTTTAACATCAAACAATTAGCAGCATTAATTACATATCCCAAATCCTCTTCTTCTGGTAACATCATATTTTCACGGGTGTGATATCATATTCACAGTCTTAGGAATTAAGGTATAAAATCTTGAGGGAGGAAGTGCATTTTAAAAATCCTGCCT